GGGATGAAACCTGGGGATGAAATCAGGATGAAATCTGGGGATGAAATCAGGATGAATAAGTCTGTGTTTGATGCCTGGAGAGCAGCTCTCCACAGCTCATTCCTCACCACATCAAACCCTTCCACATCTTCTGGAAGGTTCACACTAAAGATTTCAAAAAGATGGGCTCCATCTCACTCGGTGGACCAGTTAGTTTATAAATTAATTCATTAACTTATTTATAATCAACTTATTTATTGARAGTGATCTGAGCAGCCACATTTCCTAAGGCAGGCTCTCTTTATGGCGATGATCTCTCAGCTGATGGAGCTTTTAACTTTGGYTTCTTTTCCAGCATCATCAACCCAGCGACTTCAAATCTGTGAAGGGAATTAGAAGAAAAASCCTTTCCATCAGCACAGAGGCAGAATATTTGTCCTAAACCCCAAAATTGCTCTGTCCCAAACCCCGGAGTGGTATCTGATGTTCAGCTGTGCCATTTTTCATGCCGAATGGTCCATCCCCACTTTGGCTGTCCTCACCAATCATGGTTTGTTGAGGTAGGACAATGAGCTCAGCTTGTTTCCTTACAGAAAAATGTCCTGCCTTGCTGCTCCACTCTCAAAAATAAATTTAAATACRGTGAAACATTCTGTCAGACTGATAAAAGGCGTATCTTTGACATTTTTTCAATCTTCCCCCAAACTCTTTCAACACTGAAGCAGACAGCTCATCAATGACATTCTGCATAAATGCTCCACGGTTAGAAGTGATTTTTCATGATGAATCTTTAAAGTGCCAGGCTATCTGATAAGTTAAATTTTGATTTTCTTTATATGACAAATGGTTAATAGTTGTCTTAGAGCCTTTCTGCTCTGTGATTTTTATCTCTGTTTTATTAYGGTAATAATAACATCTAATATACTCTCTCATATCTGTCTTGTTCTTTCTTAAGGTCAAAATTATTTCCAGAGTTAAAAAGCAGCAAGAGATTCCTCCTTTTTTTTTCCCTCTCAGTATTTTCAGGGAATAAATTATCGTATACAGGCAAAAAATGGCAAATTAGGAAAGAGGAATGTGAGATCCATCCTTCAATATGGGCTGGGCAGTCAGAAACCCAAGGATTGGGATGTTGTTAYGACAAGGAATTTTCAGGCTCACCAGTTAATTAGATCAGGCTGTTTAATTGCCTTCCTTGCTAATAATCTGTGAAGAAGAAGGAGGAATGTGTTCATTCCTCCCCTCGTCTTTGGGCAGATYYCYMTTGTTKGTGTTTTATGGGATTTGTTCCCTTYGGGGTCACCAACAGGAACCCCAAAGCTCCTCCAAAAGCACAGATGGTTTTGAGGGAGCAGAGGTGACATTCCAACTCTTTGGAAGGAGCCATTCCAGGTGTCTGGGGATGGAGATTGGGATGGGGATGGGGATGTGGATGCAGCTCCCACAACCTCAGAGTAGCATCAGCCCAACCCCAGGGCTCAGGACAGGCTAAGTTTATAAATTAATTCATTAACTTATTYSTAATCAACTTATTTATTTRGAGTGATCTGAGTAGCYRYGTTTCCTMRTGGATGGATCTCTTGATKGCAATGATATCATGGTTTAAAGGAGTTTAATTGCTTCAATATATGTCAAAATAAAAGTCTTTTATTCAGTAAATCTAGTGAAATCTTGTTTCTAGTTTGAAGTAGAATCACAACTCGCCAAATCGAGTTTGGCTGCACCACACAGTKATTGCTGAGCTCAGGGATGGTTCTCACAGACAGGGACTCATCAGTGGGAATTTAGGTCCAAAACCTCAAAAGTTAGAGCAAAGGAAGGAAAAAAAAACTCTAATGGATCCAGGGATCCTGAATATCCTCTTCCTCAGCCTCCTCAGCTGCAGAAACCACTTYTGTCTGCCCCAACATCCCCAAAACTCTTCCCAAATCCATCAGTGATGACCCTGCCTACTCAACCTGGTTTGATGGAGACAGTTTCATGTTTTTCAGACGGAGAAATTGAGCAGAAATGATTTGTGCAAAGWCACAGCCTGAATTACTCACAAAGACCAAGACTGGCCAGAGCATTCCCAACTTCCCAAATTGCTCCTCAATCCCCAGACAAAGCATTATTCTTCCCACCCTCTGAACTCTTTTATCTTTTCTTCAGGCTAGACAAGAAACATTGTAAAAAAACTCACAAATTATCTTCTCACAGCATCATGAATCCCTGTTCTCTAGAAAGAAATAAAATTAATGACRGCACATTAATTACGCTGTAGGTTGGCATCCCCATAGTGGTTCCCATTGTCCTCTTTTTATCAAAAAAAAGGCATTTTCTGCCACATTTCCAGCTCCTGTCAACACAAAAATGAATGTAGACAGTCAGATCCTCATTTCCTGACAGAGATCACAAAGGTCACTGTCTGCTCTCTCCAAAATAACTCCACCTTTAAAGTTCAGAGAGGAGTTCAGCATTTCAGGGTGAGCTCTCCGTGGGTGGGATAGTGAGATCAGCCCTCCAGGGACAGAACTCCTCAAAGTCAGCKGGATAATCTGCATTTTCCAGGATTTAGGTGATTTAGGTGACTTGTGGCTCTCGGTGGCCTCCTCACACCATCGTTTTGTACCTGCAGCTCCCTCCAGCTGGAGTGGCCTCTCAGGGAACAGTGAAATCATAAACAATGGGRTTTTCCCAGCAGCCAACTTTTCCTGCATCCCATATTTTCAGTAAAAGGGGATGGAGGTCCATGGGAGAAGGGCAGCACCTCTGCACCCCCTCAGGATGTGCCCTGCTCCAAGGCAGATGCCAAAACACGAAATGAGTTACTCATTATGGAGTAATTCCTGCACAATAAATGAGAGGGAAGAGCTGGATTTTCCAGGCTCTGCTTGGAGTTTTGCTGGCTAAAGCCAACCTCGCTCATCCCAAATTACCCAGGCAGGGATGTGCTTGGTTATGTAGGAAAATGTTAACGAAAACGGATCTGAAAGTCCAAGCAAAGGTAAAMCGRAATTTGTTTGGGTTTTTKKCCTTTCCTGAAGGRTAATTTGGGTRGGGCCACRAGCTGGACAGAGCCACACCAGGCAGCTGCACTGGGACAAAACATCTCCATCCCCACAGCCATGGGATYGTGGGATCATGGGATCAGAGGTTCACTGATGGTTTGGTGGRAAAGGACCTTAAAGCCTGTCCAGAGTCACCCCTGCCATGGACAGGGACACCTCCCACYRTCCCAGGGTGCTCCAAACCCTGTCCAGCCCRGCCTGGGACACTGCCAGGACAGCTCTGGACAATCCCTGCACTCAGCACCGGTGTTTGCTTCTCTCCCCAGCCAGGAGTCATTCCCAGCCCTTCCCTTTTCCGTGGCCAAAGGCAGGGAATTTCTGCTTCTTGGGACTTCTGGACAGAGCTGGGGAGGTTTTGGGATGGAAAATTTTCAGGATGTGCCATGAAATCCCACCAGCCAGGAGGGACACGGGGCCATGCCTGGCTGCACTGGAACCCCTCGTGCCACCACGGGGCCATCCTGGGTTTGCTCCCATCTAAGAGTACCCAAGGATAATAAATATCCAGCACATTCCCGAGAATTTTCTGTTGTTCTTAGGATTCCATGGTTCGTGGGTTCCATGGTTCCTAAGATTTTATGGTTCCTAGGATTCCATGGTTCCTAGGATTCAATGGTTTCCAGAATTCTGTGGTTCCTGGGTTCCATGGTTCCTAGGATTTTATGGTTCCTGGATTCCATGGTTCCTAGGATTCCACAGTTCCTAAGATTCCCTGGTTCCTAGGATTCCACGGTTCCTAGGATTCCATGTTTCCTAGGATTCCATGGTTTCTAGGATTTTATGGTTTCTAGGATTTTATGGTTCCAGAATTCCATGGTTCCTAAGATCCATTGTTCCCAGGATTCCATGGTTCCTAGGATTTTATGGTTCCTGGGATTCCATGGTTCCCTCTAAACTCAGCAGCCTCCAGACCAGCACCACCCCAAATGGGCCCGAGTGTTTCAGCAGCTTTAAGAAACGAGGACGTGTTTAACTTTTCAGCCTGGAAAAGCACAGGCAGGAAGGTGTTTGATCCCCCTTGGATCAGCCAGAACTCATCCCAAAATCCTGCTGTCCCACCCAGCTCCGTGCTGGGGTCACTTTTCCCCTTGAGCTTGGGGTGGGCATCACAGAGGTGATGACACCACACCACCTGATTTTTGGGCTCACAACCATCTCCTGAGTGACGACATTCAACAGGGCAATATTAGAAAACATCCACACAGTGATTTATTATTGTCAACATCGCAGCTTTGAGTGCGAAAGGCGTTGCACGGACACTCTGCCACATTTTCAAGCCAAGGACGCAGCCACAGGTAGGACTCACACAGGTGTGACTCAGCAGGTGACCTTCCCTCYACACCACATTTACATTTTTCACATCCAATGACTTTTCCCTTTTTAAATGTTTTTTTTTTTTTTTTTCCCCAACCGGAAATCAAAACCCAATCCCAGATTTGGYGCATTTCATCAGCCAGGTTTTGCCTACCTAAGGCAATTAATTGAGGCATGGGGAGCCGAGCTGATACCCTGCCTTAGAGTGATTTCCCAGGATTCTTCCGGATATGAGATGAGACATCTCCGGAGATTATTCCCTGACAAAGTAATTATAAATAACTATATTAAAAAGCCACTGGAAGTTACAAGTGGGGCCTGATTCTGTTTTCCACCAGCGGCYCTTYGTATCTGTGGAAATCTGAAAGRAAATGTAAATCTTTACAACTTTAAATCTTTACAACTTTGAATCTGTATTGAAATTACCAGTTGTCTTCAAGGGAATGTGATTTGGGATGGGAAAGCACGGGAATGCCTCGTGTTTGGCAGAGGGGAGGGATTTTGGGAATAACATCCTCCGTCCTCCCACCGGGCTGTGTGCACACATCTCCTCAAATCACGGGATTATCTTTGTATTAATCAAAAGCAACTTGATGAAATCTGCAGCCTGACAAAGGAGGGGAATTAAGCAACCCAAAACATTCATTTCCAGACAAAACTTCACGCCGCCGTAACTTTGGGAAGGAAGCCCTTCCTTCCCCAGCGCTCAGAAATCGACGTTTGGGGACACGATGGGGACACGGGGACGCTCACCCCGAGGAAAGCTCCAGAAGGACTCGAAGCGACAACTGAAACATGAAACTCAAAATCGGGGCCGGGCTTTGAGGCATTTTCTCAGGACTTTGCCCTTCGGAAGGAAGTTTTTTTAATTCCCGCTCCGACGCCGTTGCGGAAGGATCTTTTGTGGGGTGGGAGCCCCGGGAGARGCTTCCCCAGAGCAGCATCCTCATCCCTGCCCACCTTGGAGAGGCAGCTGCTCAGCAGCACCAGGCAGGAATCCCATCTCCCAAACAGCTGGCAGGTCAAATAAAAAGGGTTGTTGCTCTGGAGATTAAAGGCAAACAAACAAACAA